AAACATTTTAAGTACATGTCTAAAGCAACTGCTGATCTTTACATACGAAACAAACAAATTAAAATTTCTTGTGGTTTTGATAAACTTTGGACATTTTGCCGAATAACATCGTATGTGTGCACATGTCCTTATGTTTATGATGAAAATAATTCACTTAAATACAACAGGACTCTCACATGTATACATTTGTTTTGTATGTAGTTTTCATTTGCATTTTACATATGATGACATATTTTAGAATTGAAGTATCAATAAATATTTTTCTATATGCTATTATTTTGTTTGCAACCTTTTACTGATGATTATAGTATTGAACTGAGAACCATGTAATTTGAAACATAAAGTGAATAATTGTTGTAAAAGAAGAAAGTATAAATAACGTTTATAACAAAAAGAAGTAACAGAACATAAATGTCAATAATTGCCATTGAAAATAGGTTAATAGATATAACCTTCTACACTCCTTTTGCAAAGTTTTACTATGGATTTCAATAGAATAAGAATAAGTTTGCAACCAAAAATGCTTGAAGTATAAGTCTGCAACCAAAATGTGCTTGAACAAGATATTTTTGTGTATTGAACGTTATCTTCGGACTTGCGAACTAAACCGTTTGTACAGCATTGACAGAAACATATTTTGTTATTGTTAAATGCAGTTAAAAACTTCCAAATTTGAATAAATTAGGAGAAAAACCGGCCAGAACTGTCATATGTCAAATTTCAAAATATCTACATGATCAGTTTATATCTTCAATAACTTCGTCAAAACAGAATCTAGGATGCTGAAACCTTAAACCGAGTGTGGCATATATATTGCATTATGGAATAGACATACTAATGAACTTCAAAATAACAAAGAAACCCACTTGCCTGGCAAAAATTCGTTCACCGTTTCAAAAAATCACGCCGTTTTCGCCATTTTGTCAAGTTTGCAACCAATTCGCTCGCTTGAACCAAGTGTGCAACCACTTCACGTCCTGCCCCTTGATTTGAGTAAAGTTTGAAGAAAATCCTTCCATTAGTATAGAATTTATAGAGCGGACACAACATATTGTCTAGTATTGATTGTATGTAAATTTAAAGACTTAAAAAGGGGCATAACTTTGTCAAAATCCAATACAGAGTTATGAAACTTGACCTGCATATCGTAATTGTGACACCTCATATATCTTTTAAGTTTCAAGCAAATACCTATGCTAGGTTCCGAAATATTCAAGAACATGTTTTAATCTAAGAACATTTTCTAAGTCAATTTTTGACCTTCAAGTCTGACCTTGACCTTTAGCCTGCACAAAGGTGACATGGATTCTGCACATAACCTTGTTTAGGTGAACATTTGAGAAAAGTTTGAAGAAAATTCTTCCATTAGTATAGGATTTATAGAGCGGACACAACATATTGTCTAATATGTGATTGTATGTAAATTTGAAGATTAAAAAGGGGCATAACTTTGTTAAAATGCAATACAGAGTTATGAAACTTGACCAGCATATCTTAATTGTGACAACTTCATTTATATTTTAAGTTTCAAGCAAATACCTTTCCTAGATTCAGAAATATTCAGATAAATGTTAAAATTAAAGAACATTTTCTAAGTCAATTTTTGACCTTCAAGTGTGACCTTGACCTTAAGCCGGCAAAAGAGTGACATGGGTTCTGCACATAACCTTGTTGAGGTGAACATTTGAGCCAAGTTTGAAGAAAATCTTTCAATAAGTGTAGGACTTACAGAGCGGACACGACATACTGTGTAATATTTGATTGTTTGATATTTGACCTTCAATTGTGACCTTGACCTTGAGCTGACACATGGGCAACATGGGTTCTGCACATCCCATTGTTGAAATGAACATTTGAGCCAAGTTTGAAGAAAATCTTTCAATTAGTGTAGGACTTACAGAGCGGACACGACATATTGTGTAATATTTGATTGTTTGATATTTGACCTTCAATTGTGACCTTGACCTTAAAATGACACATAGGCAACATGAGTTCTGCACATCCCCTTCTTGAGGTGAACATTTTAGCCAAGTTTGAAGAAAATCTTTCAATTATTGTAGGACCTACAGAGCGGACACGACATACTGTCTAATATATGATTGTGTTTGATATTTGACCTTCAATTGTGACCTTGACCTTGAGCTGACACATGGGCAACATGGGTTCTGCACATCCCCTTGCTGAGGTGAACATTTGAGCCAAGTTTGAAGAAAATCCTTCAAGTGGTATAGGAGTTATAGAGCGGACACGAAAATGGAGACGGACGGACCGACCGACCGACCGACCGACCGACCGACGCGACAAAGCGAATCCATTATAGCCCCCCCCACATTTTGTGGTGGGGGTATAATAACGTATGTCAAGAAGACATTTATCAGTAGCTTTAATGTGGTATTATATATCATCGATGAAATAGAACTCTTGAAATATTATTTGTACAAGTACTGAATTATTTGAAGTGTATTTCAAATAGTTTCCTTCCATAGTTCTTTTACGTTCTTAATTGTCATATAAATATGCATGTATAAATGAAGTCAGTATTTTATCCGAGAGTCACATTGGCAGTCATTAGCAGTAAACAAGAAGGCAAACCACCTATTGATAAATGTTGAGTACATGTACAAAAATATTTAGAAAATATTAAACAACAGTACATGTACGGAGCCTATTTGCAACCGTTAAACACATTGGTACTTTTAAATTATTAAAAAATAATGAATAGATTTATTTCCCCGATATTTTTTTTTAATTTAATCTTCATGTGTAACCCACACTTACATGCTAGACACACTGGTAGCTACTACCAGCTTTCATGGAATCAATTTTTTACGATGATGTCATAACATGTTTGCCGAAGATATTGTAGGCAGTACAAATTTGAAATAAATCGCATGTATGCGTTAAGACCGATACAATCTAATATTTTTTCTTGGAGAAGTTAGTACTAAAAATTATATTTTATTGATTTTTAGAGGACAATGAAGTTACTTTCAGGTTTAAGCAATAAAAATCAGTCTAAACTATCGATAGTGTTGCTGGTAGCTTTTCTGTGCGTAAAAATGACAGGTAAAACTAGGCATAACAGTTTGACAGTAAGAAAAAAAGTCTGTAAAAATGAGTCAAACCGTTCACGCCGAATTAATTAGGCTAGGTATTGTAAAGTCTTACACAGTGGTATACAGACCTGTGTATAAATATTTGTATATGTCTTTGAGTGGATAAAGCAGAAATATATGTGAACCATATCAAGCCTTGGTTTTATGTAAACCCCCAATCTGCTAGATGAAGATAATCCAAACACTTGACAAACCAAGGTGTAGCACCAAAAGATGCGTCAAACATGTACTGTATACTGTTTATACTTACACTGGCTACTGTACTGGTCGGAGACCATCAACCGGACACTTTTGGAACATTTTTCCGTACAGATTTCATAATTTTTAACCTAGAGATAAAAAAATTTGACACAGTTCAGCTAGGTTCTTCTCTTAACTAACAAACTAGTTTGTTTATTTCTGATTGTATTGACACTTATATCATAGGCTCGACAAGGAGGGTATCAAAATTACCTACATTGTCTACACTACAGTACCATGTGTCCGGACAGATATGTACATGATGTGATTTAATTCAGATAAAAGCTTGGGTGTTTTGATTTTTGATTTGTAACATGTATGCTATTCAAAATGTCAGCAACAAATGCTAAAGTTTTGGATATTCTATTATTCATTCTGCAAATGATTATAGCTGGTATATGAGGTCAGGCATTGCTTTCATGACCCCCGAATTTCAACGTCAACATTCTTGAAATAGACATTAAAATATTACCATTTACGGAGGTTGAAATAAATTTATTTACTTAATTTTAAAAGAAACATGCACTTATTGTTGATAAAAAAGTGACTGACAACCACTGAACAAAGAAAATATTAAATTAAGCATTTTCGGGGCCGTCTGGGTTTGGTGGTTGTCCGGTTTTGGTGGTCCCCAACCATTACTGGCATGCGAGCAGTTCCCGTACAGAAGCAGTACCCGTATTTTTCATTTAAACGCTTGATTTTTACTTGCATTCTTCAAAAATTCATTTCAAATCAAGCAGATACATAAACGAGACAAAATCTAAGTGTCAGTTCGGCAGTTCGTATATATAAAGTCTCATTTTAAATCACTTTCACCTGTGCGTCGTCAAAACGTGACCTTGTTTTCCCTGGGGGATTCCGTCCTTGCGCGCATGCGCAAAAATACTTACACGTGAGGCTTGTTAAAGGGTTTTCCACATACCACCTGTTTACAAATAAGTAGGCAATGTGATGAAAACTTATTTAATTATCAGAATGTTGACCAATATTACTATATATAATAATTTTATGGCTTTGATGCGTAAAATATCATGCATACAACTTTACAAGCATGCTATTGCATGTGAATGCGTTGGGGTAACGGTACCGGGTAAAAGATACCCGCGTTTAGTCTACACTCTATTTCCTGAATTACATCTATTTATCTCTTAGATAATGGTCTGTTCAACAATTGTAAATGAAAAATAGGTCAGATATAATAAAATTGTATAATTATAATGAGTTAGATTTTATGTACGGGAACTACTTCTCTTCATACAAAATAATGGATAATTTCGGTACCCCATATGAGGCCTCATAAGTAAGGGTTATTCTATGTTTAGAACATGATGGAATTTCCATGATTTGTGTGACGAGCCGAATATTGATGTGTAACATTCAAATTTTGGTGAGTGAGCATAATAAAAAATAATGTTTACGTAAATATGATTTTTGTACGGGAACTGCTTGCATGCAGTACAGTACAGTATAAAATAAAGAAAGTAGCCGAAAAGACGAGCCTGGGTCGAAACGTCTAGGAAGGCCGAAACGACCTGATACACAACAGCAGGCCTATCAAATTTGATATGGGGATTATTTTTCACAAGAACTCAATAAATGAGTTGAACAAACGATTACCACAAACCTTATAACCATACACACCTGGTACTTGTCCTTAAACATCTTTAAATCTCAACGGTTCACCATAACTGGCATAAGATGATACACTGGAAAAATTGTGCAAGTTTATGCAAACTGAACCTAACCCAGCATGCTACAGAACTACACACAGTTCCTGGAGAAAATCATATTCTATAAAACTGTGTGTTTAAATTTTCAGTTAAAATTAGAAATCAGCAGAGCAAAGTATGAGTAAATACTAAATTTTATTTTCAAAAACAAAACAAAATCTGCTTTAGTCAGCCATATTTGTTTATTCGAGACGGGTAACCCAAAGAAATGTATTAAATAAAAAAGATCTATTAAACGCGGAAAGTTCTTATCATACGCGTATCCATTACAAAGGGCCTACAGTATACAGTAGTAGAGGATATTCAAGTTTTTCAATAAAATCATGATTTATTTTCATCGAGCGGTATGAAAATAAACATTTTATGAGTGGCGGTATCCTGTATTGAATTTTTTGTTTATTTTATACATTTTTATCTTTTACAGTAGCTCTACTGTACAGTAGACATTATTATTTGAAAGACTTTTAGTTTATATTATTTCACACATTACTGTACATGTCCCTCTCCTTTCGCCTCCCTTTTGTCCACTCCAGGTTTTTTTGGTGCCTTCTGGGTGCCCTACTTGGATGTGTCAGGGGGGAGGGGGGTTGGGGCTGCGTCCTGTGAACTTGTTGATCTAAAGTTATTCTTGTTTTTTTCCCCGTCTTAAATTCTATGTATTGACAGTACTTAGTCCGGCAAATTACATAATTATTGTACCAGTGAAAATACAGAAAATAGTTTTCACTGCAGAGAAAATACGGAAAATTAAAATACACATTTTATTTTATCAATATTTCTGAATATTTCTTTTATAAATATATACAGTAGGCCCTTCCTTGTTATTCTTGTTTTTCATATTTTGAAATTGGAATTATTTAAAACTAAAAAAAAAAAATCACCAAAAAAAAAAACACCTCATTTATTAAAGCAGACTCGTTCTGTTTGTCCAACTTTAATTTAACGACGCAATTCTTATCAAAAATCATTCAAGAATTTTTCGATTTAAGAAAAAATAAACAAGAGGAATCGGACATGCGAACACAAATACTGTAAACAGTCTGATTTTTAATGACGTAGATCTATTAATGACGTCAATTTTACGTTACTGTTGCTATTGACGTCCATTAGCTTACGCTTAAGTAGGTTGAAAACATATATTCCTTGGCGTCAATTAATTTTGATAACACTAATTAAAGCAATACTGGGACACTAGCCTGCGCAAACATCTTATCCGGGTGAGAGATGTTAAATATCATTTGTTTTTCGGCATTGGAATGAATACCGGGTTTCTTTACCAAAGGGAAGTTGACTTCTGTAAGTTTTTTCTATGCCTTCTTTATTTTGGTGCAGATCTATATTATTATGAGAAACAACTTTATCTTATTAAGATAATATAATGATAATATTAAGCTATCATTAATTTTTATTTACAGAGAACATACTTTCCACTAAAACAAATAAGTATTCTTTTAAGTGTTGGCCGACTTTAACGACTTTAAACCTTTAAAGTGTGATTTTTAAAGGTATTTTATGTTATTAATAGAATATATCATTTACAAAAAGCTATTGTAACATATTTTTGTATTTACTGTCGTGTTGTATTATCATGAAATTGTTATTTTTTTAATTATACAGTTTTAATGAAATACCAGTCCCGGCAGTTTATGATGATTATTAAAGTTTTTTGAAAACATTGGTCTAATGACCCAATTCATTAGGTGGCGGTGGCGGTAGCGGTAGCGGTAGCGGTAGCGGTAGCAGTAGCAGTAGTAGTAGTAGTAGAAGTAGTAGTAGTAATAATAATAATAATAATAATAATAATTATAATAACTTTATTTTGAGAGTAGGTGACATAATTAATAAACATACAACTTATTTCCAATACGGCCTTCTATACATACATGTATATAAACAGAAATCAGAAATAACAATAAACAGCAACGACAAACACTCTTACAAAATACATAGCATTTTTGTGGATTATAAATGATAAATTATGGAAATTAGTATCTTAACTTCGTATGCACATACAATCATAAAACAATGTTAACAAACAAACAAAGCGCTATAGAGAGCTATAGAGGGTTATTTCTGTTAAAATTCAGTTTTTAGCGCTTTAAGCTGTGTTTTTTTATTAAATAATCCTTTAGTTTTCCATTGATAGATGACAATTTACTTCGTAGTTTTATGTCAGTTGGGAATGTTTTCCATAAATGTGCCGCTTTGTATGTAAATGTTTGTTCATATAATTTGTCCGTGGCATGAAGTGAATAAGATCATTATTCGCTGAAGAGCGAAGATTATATCTATCATTATTAGAAAAAAACTAGTAGTTCTAAGAGGAGGATATTTTTTCGTTTGAGTGAAATGTGGAATATATTTTCACTCAACATGATAAAATGCCACATATTTTCATGTTGAGTGAAAATAAATACCATATTTCACGAAAAAAGAAAAAAAAACCTTTAAATTATTTAATTTCATTATCAAAGAAAAAATGGTTACGATGCGTCTTGTTTTGCACGCTATGTTTGGCGCTACATTGTGACGTCACGTAAACAACTCTTTTGAATAAAAGGTATTGGTGTTCGGATTTATTATCTTTATTAGACCATTTTCTATAATTTTAGATAGTTTTCAATACAAAATTCAGCAAAAAGTTGTTATTTATTTATATTAAGAGGATATTTTTTCGTTTGAGTGAAATATTGAATATATTTTCACATTTTATCATGTTGAGTGAAAATATATACCATATATTACACGAAAAAAAGAAAAAAATAACATTTTTATTTAATTTCATTATCAAAGAAAAATGGTTCTGAACCACTTTGTTTGCTGCAATTGTACAGCGCGCAGTAATATATTATTTATAGATGCGTCTTGTTTTGCACGCGATATTTGGCGCTACATTGTGACGTCACGTAAACAACACTTTAAATGTTTGTACAGAGTTAATGTTGGTATTGGTGTTCGGATTTATTTTCTTAGACCATTTTCTATCATTGTAGATAGTTTTCAAAACAAAATTCAACAAAAGTTGTTTTTTGTTACAAAATGGCGAAAGAAGTCCCTTAAAATAAATATAAGTTTTGACTCCGCCCACTTTCATATTTATATTTCATATTTATTTTTTACAAATATGAAATATATTTGACTGGTATAGCACCATATTTCATGGGTAAAATTAAGTAATAAGAGGACATTTTTTCTTTTGAGTGAAATATGGAATATATTTTCACGAAACATGATAAAATGCCACATATTTTCACGAGCCGGGACGGCGAGTGAAAATATGTGGCATTTTATCATGTTGAGTGAAAATATATACCATATTCCACGAAAAACGAAAAAATAACCTTTTTATTTAATTTCATTATCAAAGAAAAATGGTTACGAACCCCATTGCTTGCTACGCAGTAATGCAAGTAGTGCGCAGTAATATATTATTGCGTCTTGTTTTGCACGCGATAAATGGCGCTGCATTGTGACGTCACGTAAACAACTCTTTAAACGTCTGTACAGCCTTAATAACAGAATTAAAGATATTGGTGTTCGGATTTATTTTCTTAGTTAGACCATTTTCTATCATTCTAGATAGTTTTCAAAGCAAAATTCAACAAAAAATTGTTTCGTATTTATCAGATTTTTCAAACAAAATGGCGAAAGAAGTCTCTCAAAATAAATATGAGTTTTGACTCCGCCCACTTTCATATTTATATTTCATATTTTTTTAAAATAAATATGAAATATATTTGACTGATATAGCACCATATTTTATGGGTAAAATTAAATAAAGCACCATATTTCATGGGTAAAATTAAATAAAGCACCATATTTCATGAGTAAATTTTAAAAAAAAATGGTGCCAGATTATGTTCACGTTTAAAAACCAATAAGGCCATGTAATTGCATCTGTTTTCAAAAGTAACCAGATTTTGGGTATTGAATACACTTTTTGTTACATGCTGTTTCAGAATTATCCGAAGTGCCCTCTTTTGTATGTTGTATATTTTTTCGGTATCAGATTTGCAGTTTTATCCCCATATAGTATTGCAGTAGTCCATTGTTGACATTATGCAGTATAGTATAACATTTTCATATCATCTGTCAAAAAAATATGAAATTCGTTTTAAAAGTGCATTTTTGAATTGAGTTTATTTATTACATTATGAACTTGAGTATGCCATGCTAATTTAGTATCAACACATATCCCGAGAATATTTTGACTTGATACGTTTTCTAATATAGTGTCATTTATAGCAAGTTCGAGGTTTCTAGCCCGCTTAGTTTTGAATTTTGATACACTTAGTTTTTACTGGGTGCAAGATATATTATTATTTATAACCATTTGTTGACCAAGTAAAGACTTTTTTGGAGTTCTTTTTCAATAACGAGACTATCAGTATCGGATTGTGGAGTCATCAGCGTACATGTCAATGGTAATAGAATCTGACATTAATGCCATGTCATTAATTATTATATATAAGAAATAGCAAGAGTCCTAGTATTGAGCGTATTGAGCCTTGTGGAACTGTGTAATTTGTAAATTGATAATTCCTGTACATATAAGAAGAATAAACAGGCTATGGTATTTTTTTATTCAAAGCGTAATCTCATTATAATCATGCATTTCATTATAATCATTCATTTGCTAATTTTAGTTGCTAAATTTGTTCAAATGTCAGCCAATGAAGCCGTACAATGAAATACAAAAATGTAGCAATGCTAGTTGCACTTGCATCTTATAATAAAACAGATCGAACAGATCATTATTTTATTTTGACTTGTACATAATCACACATAGTGTGATAATTCATTGTTAGAAATGCATAAACAATACATTTTCAATACTTTTTTCACTGAATTGAAACAATCTTTAAAGACAATGTCACGTTACATTTTAATGACGTTATAGTTAAAAAATAATATATCCCAAACTGTGATTTTATCGCTCAATAACATCACTGTTTGGAGTTCGGATGCGCATCATTATATCACTCGGGCTACGCCCTCGTGATATAACTCCTCGCATCCGAACTCCAAACAGTGATGTTATCCAGCGATAAAATCACCGATTTGGATATATTATTTCGATTCTAGATAACACGACGTAAACAAATAAATGCTGCCGTACCTGCTATTAAACAAAATTGCGCCTGATTTGTTTCCGTACTTATTGTTTGCGCGTCGGATTTTATAGTGGTTACGTCACATGTATAATGATTACGTCACATGTCTAAATATAGAACGTCAAACAGTGACTCTATGTATAGGTTAGAGTGCATATTGGTTGTTCTTCGTAAATAAGAAAGCTAAAAAGGAGCGGAGCTTGCGAAGCGACTGTAGCTTTCTTATTTACGAAGAACATCCAATATGCACTCTAACCGGCTTAGTGCTCCGCCCACTTGCGTTTTATAATATAAAACGTCCAGTTTATATAAAATCTGTTCTATTAAGATTTGAAACCTGAAAATATGAAAAATCCTCGTCGGTGATTGGCTTAAAAATAATGGCGAGCACTAATTAATGCATATTCTAACACGACCCGCATTTTTCCCTATTGAACATAGAAGAACAGAAAGTGTGTGTTATTATGCAACAGATGCACAGTTTGACGTTCTATATTTAGACATGTGACGTAATCATTATACACGTGACGTAACCACTAAAAATCCGACGCGCTGAAAATAAGCTCGGAAACAAATCAGGCGCAATTTTGCTTAACTATCAAGTACCGCAACATTTATTTGTTAATGTCGTGTTAGAATCGAAATAATATATCCAAATCAGTGATTTTATCGCTTGATAACATCACTGTTTGTCGTTCGGACGCGCATCATAATATCACTCGGGCTACGCCCTCGTGATATAATTCCTCGCATCCGAACTCCAAACAGTGATGTTATTGAGCGATAAAATCACTGTTTGGGATATATTATTTCTTAAATAACACACACTTTCGGTTCTTCTATGTTCAATAGGGAAAAATGTGGGTCGTGTTAGAATAATTATTTTAGAACGTTATTTCAAATAACAAAACAAATTATATAAATCTACACGTAACATAATATTACATGGTATATTTTGGGAACACTTTTAGAATCTGTCCGTAGGCTAGCAAATTCCATGTTTTAAAATCCTTTCCGTAACCCCATTTCATATACCCATAACACTAACCCTAACCCTAGAAGTAATCTGAGTGATATTGTTGAGAAACATAAAATATTGATGATAAAATAATATAGTGGGTAAAATCAAAATGTTAAAGGGACTCCACTGGGCTTTTTTGACATGAAGAGACTGCAAATAAGTTTCCAAGATTGATGTTGTCGAGACAAATAACCTGTGCGCAAAATTTCAATCATTCGCTCACTTTGTTTTTCCAGAATAATTATTCTAATTGTGAATTGGAAAGCGTTGCAACGCTTTTCACTCAAATTGTGCATATAATAGCACAAAAAATATGATTTTCAAAATATTTCTGAGCATAATTTCCCATTTCAGTTTTAAGTGCCCCAGCTGATCTTTGTAAGAAATTCAAATTTTATGATATTAGGTTTTTGGAACTCAGTTGAGCTCCTTTAAAAAATAGCTGCGGACAGATTTTAAAGTCTAGCTATTTTTGTTGTATAACTAAGCAATACATATTCGCGTTGAGTCTGTCGATGAATGCAAAGTTCTGCTTTTAAAAACTGTTTTACAGATAATTTGTTCAATGTTGGAAATTACTATAAAAAAAAACCAGATACTATAACATATATACATGTATAGCATAGTCGTACGTGATATGGGTCTAGAATATAAGTTTTGGGGAATTACATGTAATATGATCAGCTTTCGTGAGAACTCGAAGAACGTTTTATGGAATCACTTATAGACGCAAACACCAGTTTGTGTTTTTTTCTACACAAGATCGCTCTTGAAAGACACGCTCTTCTATATAACATAACTGAAAATAAATAGCCGTTGTTGTAACTGTGACAAAATTGTAAAAGAGTCTGCTACTCAACCCAGAGATCATGAGTGCTCTGGCCTTGACTAAAAGTCTGATTATTTTCCCTCTTGTACCATTAATGTCAAAAAGTCGATTTGAACAAAGCGGCAATCAATTTATATATGCTATAATTACTGGTTTCATTTCAAGATGTTTAACCTTTTATTGCATGAGCATATTTTGAAAAATGGCTGTTTTCATTGAAAAGCTTCTTGTTACAAGTTCAAACTGATATGGCACTATAAAAATGCTTCAATACTGATCAAATTTGGCACAAATGTTGACTGGACCATAGCCTTTATAACAGCTTTCATGTTACCATGGCAACGGGGGTCGTCTCAAGATTGCAAAAAATCACTATTATGAGTTGTTCAATCCATCAAATCTGGTTTCAAAGTGATGTAACTTCTCAATGGATTGAGATAGGGTAAAAGGCTTTTCAGCGTTAATTGCATGTTACCGTAAGATCGATCTGATCCATTTTTAGCCTCTTACAAGTCAAAATTGTCTTGGCGATGGGGGTGGGCTACTTGCTTAGTGACTGCTAGTGACTGCTTTTAGCGGCCTTGCGTTTTGAACGTTTATAACATTAATAAGTAAATAAACGTCATTGTTTGCCTTTCAGCGTCTAGATGAGCATGACGAACCACTTGTGGACGTCAGAGTGTAACAAAGTGAATGTACGATTCACAAGTCACCATGATGTAAGCAATGAAAATGACGTAGTTGGCGTCATTGGATCATGCAAAACCCTAGGTAACTGGGAGCCAGAAAGTGCTTTATTGTTGGAGAGACGTGGTGTTAAAGGATGCTGGAGTTCACTGGTGAGATTACCACTATCCCAATATTTTGAATGGAAATTAATTGTTATAGATAGGCTAACGCGTGAAATCCAGAATTGGGAAGAATATCCAAACAGGTGGCATTGGATTGACAGAGGTCCTGTTGAAATAATAGCAGGATGGAATAGCAAAGAAATTACCCGATGTAGTTCATGTAGATGTTTAGTTGGACTCTGTTGTTGTACAACAATTTATTCAAATCTGATGCCACCAGAAGGTTTAGTAAACGTCACATTTAAAGTTATTCATAGCATCGATGACGTAAATGAAACGATAGCTCTTGTAGGATCATCAAAATTTCTTGGAGACTGGGATCCGACATATTCCCGGTTGTTTTCAGCGCAACATAATCCGGTATTAACCATCCAGTTACCCGTTAACACATGTTTCCAGTGGAAGTTAGCAATTCTTAACAGTCAACACAGAAAGGTGCTACATTGGGAAGAAATCAAACATCGTTCACTCAGTGTACAAACGTGCCCTGTGGAAGTTGGCGTGACTTGGGGCAAAACCGCTGAAATCGGCTACAGGTGTTTCTGGTTAGATCCAGATTGGGTTGTTGCACCATGTCCATGTGGTAGACGATACTGTAATAATAGAGACATCAAAGGGGATGCACGCAAAGTAAAAGACCTTCTGGATGTATTTGATAATACGACTAAAGTAATAAGCGATAATCGAAAACTCAAATCTGCTACAAGCGTAACATATGTCACACATGAAGAAACAGTTAAGACTATGAAAGAAAACTATGACCTTTTATATTCAGAAACAGATCAGCAAGATGGTATTACGTCATCTCTTTATAGACTGGAAATAGCTAAAGATGGTGATTCTCAAGAACAAATGAAGATGAACTTGACTGAGAAAAATATAAACAACAAAATAGAGAATTTAGGAACAGAGAAAAGCAAAGATGATGGTTTCCATCAAGAAACTCCACATTCAAACAAAAAAGCATGCGCAAAATATGTTACGATGTCATCCAATCAAACAAGTTCACTATCAACTGTAAACTCTGTTGAACCAAAAAGATTTACATCAGAAGTGGGCACCGACACTGTTCTTTTATCGCAGCTGGTGTCTTTACCTGAGAAATGTTCAACCGATTGTGATTCAACACAATCAAATAAGTCTTTCTTAGATAACACATTGGTTGAAAGAGATCTAACTAAGTCAGAAAATATGGAGGAAATTACCGATATTGTAGTATCAGACACTGATAATTCATTAACAACTATTAGTTCAATCAATAGCGATTCATCACAAGCAGAAAATGTTTCAATAACAAGTTGTTCAGCTGATAGTGAATCATTACAGACAGACAACTTGTTATTAAAGAACTATGCAGAGGATACTTATTTGTTTCACGGAGAAATGTTAAATGTTGCCCAAACCAAGAACGAAGTACTGAAAACGATCAGCTCCAACGGCGATTCGCTTGCAAATGAACAGCACAAGAAAATTTCCAGTATATCAGTAGTTGAAAAGAAAACTGTTAAGTTAGTCAGTTTCAATAACTTATTAAAGGGTGATATAAACATATCAAATGAACCTCTCAATACTGACAATCATGAGACTGAATACGTACCAGAGAGCACAACTGAGAAATTACTTTGCAGTGATAATATGACAGTGATAACGCAACTGCAAGATTTGTCACAACTTGACATTGCCTTAAAAAACGAACAAAAAAGCGAAGCTGCAGAAAACAAGCAAGCGAATGAAACAGAAAGAAACAAGTTATTGGAGGAACCGGATCAGATAGAACAGTCGGGAAGCATTCTGTCACAGCCAATTGAACAAGTTGAAAATATCATTTTGGATTGTTCAGAAAATGATTCCAGTTTTGTATCAATGTCATGGATTACAGCAACATCTGCTTTAGTTGCCGTAATTGTCGGTTCATGTATTGTTGATCGTTATGTGCGCAAATAAATCATTAAAATGTTGAATTTCAATTTGCTACCGTTTCGTTCTATAATATGACGGAACTTTTAGTAAAACCTGGCTGAGCATACACTGTTAATGCTTTTAGTATGTAACAGATCATATCCTTTAATCTTTATGGTTAAAGATGTGTTTAATGTCCATTTTCGGGTATGACGTAGCTACAATATATATAGAGACAGTTTTCCTCATACGATCTGTTCATATTAACATGTCTTTGCTCTGCTGGAAATTGGCAATTATCTAACGTCACATTAATGGATGAATATTTTATTTCACTCTAAATTTGTATTAAAAAGATTATTTCAAACCTGAAAATATGAGAGAGTACACTGATTAAATTGTCAAACCACAATCCCAGGAACCTCAAGTTCCATCCCGTGCAACTAAAACAATATCTACAAACAGGTTTTCAGAGGTGATCTAAAAATATACAAGAGCCATGCTAACATGGCCATCCCCCGCCGAATGTGTTTGCTCATTGAAATAATGTACATGTATATGTAGCAGATCAGAATAATTCAATTCTAAGAGGTCTTTTGGTAATGAAAACTGATGGCTGAAGTGATTACAGATTTGAAAACTATGAAAAATAACAAAGGGTAACAACTGAAAAATAATGCAGGGTAGGTTATCATTCTTGTGTGCTGCACTCCTTCTCAATGAGATCTCTCCACCTATGATACCTCTAACACTTTTTGAGATAAGCTCCAGACAAAAAGTATGAAAAATAACAAAGGGCATTCCTCCTCAATAAGATCTATCCAGCTATGAAGTATTATGTTGACATCTCAAAGACTTTTTGAGCTATGCTCCACACAGTATGAAAAATAACAAAGGGCAATAACTCAAAAAATATGAAGGGTAGAGTTATCATTCTTTTGCACTGCACACCTCCTGAGTGAGATCTATCCACCTATAAAGTTTCATGTTGATATCTCAAAGGCTTTTTAAGTTATGCTTTGGACAAAAATTTAGTTTAAACAAGAATTTCGAACGACACATATGCCACCTTTCTAGCCCTTGACTCAAATAATTGGTAATTTTGTTACAGAAACTTTCCATAAATGGGTACATGGAAGTGTTCAATTATGGAAAAAAGAAAAATAATGAAGACTTTGTGATAAATAGTTTTCAAGATAATGAGATATTTAAGGCCCCTGTGACCTAGAACTTTGAACTAGTGACCCAAAATCAATAGGGGTCATCTTATAGGTATTACCAATCAATACTACAAATATGAAGACTTTGTGATACATAGTTTTCAAGATAATAAGCGGAAACCAAACTGACATTCAAGAACCCTGTGAACTTAAATTTGACTTATTCACCCAAAAATCAATAAGTTCACTTACTTGTGATAAAAAATCTTCAAGATAATATGCGGAAACCATTCTGACATTTAAGGCCCCTGTGACCTTGACCTTTGATCTAGTGACCCCAAAAGCAATACGGATCATCTGTTGGTTATGACAAATCACTTTGTGAAATATGAAGACTTTGTGATTATTATCTTTCAAGATAATGAGCTGAAACCATTCTACCATTCAAAGACCCTGTGACCTTGACCTTTGACCTAGTGACCACAAAATCAATAGGGGTCATCTACTAGTTATGACCAATCAATATGTGAAATATGTAGACTTTGTTATAAATAGTAACCAAGATAATAAGTCGAAATCATATTACCATTCAAGGATTCTGTGACCTTGACCTTTAACCTAATGACCCCAAAATCAATAAGGGTCATCTACCACTTATGAACAATCAATATGTGAAATATTAAGACTTTGTGATTTATACTTTTCAAGATAATCAGTGGAAACCATTCTGACATTTAAGGCCCTTGTGACCTTGATCTTTGACCTAGTGATCCCAAAATCAATAGGGGTTATTTACTAGTAATGACCAATCACTATGTGAAATATGAAGACTTTGTGATGAATACTTTTCAAGATAATCAGCGGAAACCATTTTGACATTTAAGGCCCCTGTGACCTTGACCTAGTAACCCCAAAATCAATAGGGGTCATCTACTAGTTATGACCAATGACTATGTGAAATATGAAGACTTTGTGATAAATACTTTTCAAGATAATCAGCCGAAACCATGTGGTCTACTGACGGACAGACCGACCAACAGACTGACATTAGCAAAACAATTTACCCCCTCTTCTTCGAAGGGGGGCATAAAAATAACAAAGAGCAATAACTGAAAAAAATGCAGGGTAGAGTTATCATTCTTGTGCACTGCACTCCTCCTCAATATGATCTATCCACCTATGAAGTTTAATGTTGATACCTCAAATACTTTTTGAGATATGCTCTGGACAAAAATGTCAGACGGAAGGACATAGACTATTTCTATATCCCCTTTCGGTGGGGGATAACAAGTCGTGTAGCATATATTAGGGGGCCTTCAAGGAAGATATCTTCTCATGGCTACTTATGCCAAACTATTGCATACATGTTTGTACACCTATATGGATGTCAACCTTTTTTACCTCATTGGGCTTTTACCTACATTTAGCTTTAGGCAAATGTATGCCATCAATACAGATGTATCTTCCTGGCTGCTTCAGGCCTTCTTCCCTGACTGCCAAAGGCCTATTTACCTGACTGCTAAAGGCCTACTTCCCTGGCTTATACTATACTTGTGGCATTTGGAAGTTATTTCTTCAACACGTTAAGCACCTAAACAATCAATCCAATCTGCATTATACTTATCCCAAGTTTATTTGCCTAAATAAACATAGATCATTTTGTGGAAAAAATGGACCGCAAGATCTGCAGTGAAAACAAACAAAAATAATACAAATAAATACTTTAATTGTTGACTATGACATATATTTGTTGAAATTAATCTTGAAGATATAATTAAAGACACACACACTTTACCAAGAGACCACACAAAATATAGAAAAATCATGCAAGGCATCAGGAAAAAAAAAGAAATTTGATAATGTGACAAACAGACATGCATACATGTTTGTAGAGAGACCCTCTGTAGAGTAATAACCTCTATATAACAATAGTATCAAATAATGCTAATGTAAGATATAATCTCTCTTGAATTCAGCATCATAGACTTCTTTGCTCTCTTTAATTAAACTGGAAATAATTCATGACTTTTAATCAGCCATGTATATAATAGATATATAGTTCAATAAAAACTACCACAGTACATTATTTATGAAAGGTATAAAGATCCAAAGTACCTTAGTTAACAGCAACTTTCATTATTAATAGTTAATAGGATTGGCTAAGAATATGAACAGATATAAACTTTATCCAATTACTGCCACTTTTCAATCATCCCTAGAAAAGCCTAACTTTTGGCCATATTTGTAATGTAACCTAACTACAAGCATATCTTGTGTTTATCTTGATTGCTTAATTTAATACCAATGTCAATTATTGAGATAAAGAGAGAGAAAAATATCATTAATTACATGCAAAATATGTGAAATATATGTTTTCCACAAATTCTTAATTTTCACAGTTAAAATCACAATAATTTTCTAAAAAAGAAAAGATTTAGAGACTAATTTTGTTTACAAGTCAGCTGAAATGAATATTTTCCAGGGCCATGATATATACGTAAAGAGCTACTTGATTCTAATGTACATACTCAACTGTACAATTCATAACTAGAACTTAGTAAGTCAATAAAGTAGCTAAACCATAATATAACATGTTTTCTCATATATTTTTCCAGTAAGTTTGTCACTAGAATGGCATCTTACTAACAACCCAAAAATTTCATAAAATAGCATGTTTTTACTATTATGTTCTTATAAATATGTTAAAATTGTTTGTTACCATTTATCTTGAGGTGAATTATGCAATAATGCCTTCAAAATACAAATTGACTTTATCATGAAATTGTACAACACTTTATTATGTGGTACAGTATATATTTTGTTAACTGATTGAAAAGTGGCAATAAAATTTTTAACAACTAGAAATTAAGTCAGTAATAGTTTGTCTACAATGTATGTTTCTATTAAAATTGCAAAAAAGTTGTTGAATTCATAAGATGAAATAATAATTTTCATGGAATTACAAAAAAAAAAGTGATTTTATTAATTTCATTGTCAATTATTGCCAAAAATTCTGTTAGCTAATCGAACATACCAAATATTGTTTAGTAAAAGATGACACTATTAGAAATGGTACACATGAGTGACATAAGAGAGAACAAACTGAAGACTACTAGTATCTGCTCCAACAAGAATAATTTCGGGAGCATCATCATGGTTGTTACCCATAAAAGAATTAATTAAAATACATGTATTGCAAAACTGTGGTTCCAATATATATACAAAACAAAAGCCACCACCGGGCGGGGGCCACGCTCGACTTTTTACTTTTTTCTAAAAGCAAACATTAACAAAGAAACGTTTGAACAAATCTTAATGTTTCCTTTTTATAATTTTAATAGGCCTGTCTTGTCACACTAGTTTTGTCAAAGTATGAATCCTTTCCATAAATAATTGACAATAGTCAGAAAATATTGTCAAAATTTAGAAGAAAATATATATATTTTATATATATATATATTTAAAATTCATATATATATATATATATATATATATATAATATATATATATATAGATAAAATTATAATGTTTAAGAAATAACAAACTCTATGTATTTTATCTATTTCAACACTGCACAAGGAACATTTATCACGTTTTAATATATATATATATATATATATATATATATATATATACAGTCCGACCCCGGTTATTCGATAACTCTTTATTCGAATACCCGGCATTATCCGAAGTAGATCGGCGGTACCGTTTTTATCTCTATATAAATCAATATAAATACGAGCGTATTATTCGAAATGCATTATCCGAATACCTCCTTTTTTTTCGAAGTAAAATTTCGGTCCCGATTAGACAATTATGAAAGAATTTCACACCTATTATTCGAAGCCAGCCTAATTATTATTCGAAGCCAGACTAATTGGCGCAGATCCATTCGCTGACCGGTCGACTTGTGAAAAATATCAACAGTCATGCGTGTATTTAGACAATTGTGATAATAACTCTTTATCAACTTTAATAACCGAAACTGAAAAGCTATGCACCGTGTCCGATTTTGTTATTGTTATTGCTTTAAGATGACAGCAATATTTTTCATACATACCGTATATGTAAATTTGTCAAAACATCCAAAACATCTTTTTCATTAATTGTACCGCTACATGAGAGCCTTTATCTTAATCGAAAATACCAGAGTTTAGCTGTAAATACCGTAGTGGCGGCCATTATCAAGGCTTTGCGCGAAACGAAATGATACATAATGTAGAATAAAATTAAAGTATTTATGTCTAAAATGTCAAATACAATATTTTTTACGCATCTTTTCTTTAATATTTATTTTTCTCAACTGATAACAGGTGATTACAGGAAGTGAATATGTTGTAAACGATAGTTTTGCTATGATTGGTCAAAGTGGAGTAGTTTTCGTCTATCACAATATTCCGATTTCGATTATTCGAACCCATCGATTATTCGAAGTAAATATTCAGTCCCAGACACTTCGAATAAACGGGGTTGGACTGTATATAAAATTATAACATGATAAATGTTCCTTGTGCAGTGTTGAAATAGATAAAATAATAATGTTTAAGAAATAACAAACACTATGTATATTTAGTAGCGCTTTCAATGCTTTCTTCGCATATCTTCAGCCAAAACTTTATATATATACTGTATATATATAAAACAAAAAACACAGTCTATGACTTAACTTATTTAATTATTTGCCAACCGGTTTCTCTTATGATCATCAAGGCAAATGTGATGTCGTCGCATAGTAACGACGCACTTTTGTGCACACATAAATACATCCACACCAATAAATATATATGATCATTTAATGCATAAATCAGTGAAAATTCAATAATTTAACCTTCAAGGTCATAAAAGGGCCAAGGTCAATTTAAGTTTGATAAACATGAAGGTCTTGTCCTGGAGAATGTTCTGTTATAATATAAAGTCAATCCATTCAAAAATAGTAAAGTTACAGCAAGTTACAGCCAAAAAAATTAAAATTTCAATAATTTGACCTTCAAAATCAAGGTCATTTATAAGGTCATGGTCTGGCCACTTATTTTAAAGGGCTTCCTTGAAGATTATTATGTTCAAGTTTGAAGATAATCAATTCAAAAATAACAAAGTTACAGCCAATAATAGCAAGAACAAGCAAAATTTGGACATTTGACCTTGAAGGTCAAGGTCATTTATGGATGAAGGTCAAGGTTAGTGTGGTCTACTGAAAGGTCTTGTCCCAAGGGTTGTTGTGGCCAAGTATGAAGATAATACACCAAGAACTAAAAAAGTAATGATCCAGGTACAAGTTTGCGGACGGCAACAGCAACGGCAATGCAGCCATGACTATAACAATACCTCTACTTTTTTTTTTTTTAAAAAGTCGAGCTAAAAAAAAGAAAACAAGAAATATTACATAAACAAATACGTATGACAACTATAAAAATTATGAATTCAGCTATCTCCAAAATTTCAAAATGTATTTTAGGCCATTACCTATACTCTACAATGTATTCTGGGTAATATTGGTTTTTATCAAACACACAATATATAGTTGGATTGAGTATATTATTAACAGTAGAATCATAATAACCCTTCCTAAAGTCATTTGTATCAATTTGTGGGGGTCTTTTTAATCCCGGTGCACCGAGACAGTATTTTCCGGTCAATACTTTAGCAACAAACATAACTTTATATCCATTATCACCCGCCGAGGCATATAAGTCAGAGTACTTTGCTGTAGTTGCAAAGTATGCACCATCCCCATATAGCGCTCCAACTCTCGACCCTGCGATGCGAAAATCAAAATTGTCAAAAGCGATTAAGTCGACAAGATCCGGTTTTGTTCCATGATATAGGTGCTGCTCGCAGGCACTGCCTTGTCCACCTTTGCTTTCCATTTCACGCTTTTTCCTGAAATATATATATATGTTTTGATGTTGATAAATGGTTCTCTTTACATTCTGCAAGACAAGTAATAGAAAGAACATCGAAACACCAGGCTATCTGATTTGTACGAGGGTTGTAGCCCCCGAGAAAATATCAGATTGCCGTGTGTGTTTTGATGTTCTTTCTCTTTTGTATCATAGTCAAACATAGAACACGTTCCCTGTTGTCACAATATGAAACCCCAGTAAAAAAAGTAACCAATGAACAAGCATCTGAATATGATATTTCTATCGCTTTCCCTTTCTCTGCCGTGACAATAAGTAAACCCCAGAAAAAAATGAGCCAATCAATCGGTATGCTCTGGAATGAGTATAACTTATACCTGCACTCAAGTGAACACACTGTGCATGTATGTGTATATGATTTAACTCTGACACATTTTCAACAGAAAGATCCCCAAACTATGATACAAACTATTCTTATTGCTTGATAGTAAAACCAGGGTCTTGCATGAATGTGATGAGCTGACAAAAGCAAATCAATGCAAGAGTTATTGGTCTTGCTCAGTGACTAACCACTATGACCATGAAGATATTTGTGAAAGTTCAAATGAATAACTTCTGTGAAAGAAAAACAAAAACTTGCAAAAAACAAAACTCTCCATGAAAGTCTTTAAAAATGGCATTCAGTGAAAATTGTATATAGAGTTATAAGCCTGGTATAGGTGATCTACAATTACAAATCTTTAAGCAAGTATGAAATCATAAATGAATACCTCTATGAGTTTATCAGATATGAAGTAATAAAAAACTTTAATTTTATGCTAAAAAACCAAGAGACAATTAAATATAACAGATGGTACCTTTTAATTCAAATGGGAAAGAACCTTCAGAAAATGTTTGTGGACAGAAAAAAAACAAAGAAAAGACCATAAAGTCTCTGAATATCTTCAACCTAAATAAAATCTTTACAAAAAATATTTGGTTTAACATCCATCCATCAATTTTGTTAAAAAGGCTTTTTTTTAAATAGCAAAGTACTCACAAAGTATAATGTTCCCAGAGTAATGGATTTTGTATACGTTTAATACAGCCTATTTCACATTGACTAAGGGTATTCTTAAAATGTTTCTCAACTTCAGCAAACTCCTGTTTCTGCATGGCATCTGATGTGTCAAGTTGCACCATATCCACGTCTGTTACTTTCATTGCCTTCCAGTGCATTGGCAGACGTACTCCAGCTTGAGATTTTGCTGGTGCCTGTTTGTAGGCAGCAGTAAGCCTGAAAGTTGGAAACCTTACTATGCAAACATGTTAATACAACAGATGCTTTTAGTATAGGAAGAAATAATTTATGTCTATGACAAAAGTATAGGGGTGAAGCAAATCTAAACTGGTATATAGGACTAAAACTATTAAATTGCTTGAACAGAATGCACCTTTGCACCAGTATGGAGTCAGCCTGCATGCATCTTCACCTTAGTGCATTAAAGAGTTAACTCCTTATATCATTTAACAGGAATTAGGGCATTACTGCATTTAAGTGACAACATGTGCAATCTGATCAGGCTCCATACTGTTAGTAGGTTTGATATCTAAATCCCTTAAATTTAGAATGAACTGTTCCAAATTCAAAGCAGGACAGATCCATTACACAAATTCAGCAGGTTAAACGGTTAAAACTTCAGGTTTCTGGGTATCAGTGTTCTAATTATAAAATGGAAGAATCCAAGTTCACATAGAAATGTTCTGGTACAATTTCATTATAAAATGCCATCTAAGAATTATAACAATTATTTTTTAACACAGAATTTTCTCAATGATGTCTCAATAAATGAACAATTAATTTTATCAACGCTTATTTGCAAAAAATAAAAATAAAAAACAAGAGCTGTCACCCAAGTGACGAATGCCCCCCGAAAAGGTTTCTAAAGCATGCAGGTATTATGAAATGAAAGAAAATGAAAGTTACTAATTGCTTCATATTGTTCTTTGTATTATTGTACCTATAATTTCTAATTCTGATAGTGTGAACCTTCAAAATATAAGTATGACCTTGACCTTTGGAGAAGGGACGTGGTTCTTGGATGCAACAGAATGTTGTCATGAGACAGACATTTGTGCCAAGTTATTTCTAAAACCCTCAATGCATGACAAAGTTACAGTCTGGACATGATTGTTGTGTAAGTTGGGACAGACAGACGGACATGACCTTTAGCAACAACACATCGTCTTGATGTGGTTGACATTTGTGCAAAGTTATTTTAAAATTTTTTATGCATGACAAAGTTACAGTCCGGACATGAATGTGTATCTTCAAACTCTTCTCGAGAGAATGAGTACCTTCAAACTATAAGTGTGACCTTGACCTTGAAGGTAGGGACATGGGTCTTAGTCGCTACATGTTGTCTTGATGTGGTAGACATTTATGCCTAGTTACTTTAAAATCCTTTGATGCATGACAATGTTACAGTCCGGACATGAATGTGTGTACCTATAAACTCTTATTGTGATAGAGTGAACTTCAAAATGGTAGTGTGACCTTGACCTTTGAGGTAGGGACATGATTATTGAACGCGACACATCGTCTCTATGTGGTAGACATTTATGCCAAGTTATCCCATAAAAATTGCATTTTCCCCTGTAATGTTACTATGTGCATGAAGTATCAAATTCACAACAAGAGGGCCATGATGGCCCTGAGGTCGCTCACCTGTATATAGGCCCCCCCAACCCCCACCCCCAACGTTGCAGGTCCAATTTAACCCAAGGGCTTTTATTTGCACAAACTTGGTAGACACCCATAAGAAGATGTTTCATGCTAAACATCTAAGCTCTAGCTCATTGGGCTTTTTAAAAGAAGATTTTTTAAAGTTTTTACTATACACATATAGTTAAAAACAATGACACCCCTGGGGCGGGGCCAGTTTTGACCCCAGGGCTTTTATTTGAACAAACTTTGTAGACACTTACTAGAAGATGTTTCATGCTTAATATCTAAACTCTAGCTATTTGAGTTTTTTCAAAGAAGATTTTAAGTTTTTGCTATACACACATAAAGAAAAATCAATGACCCCCGGGCGGGGCCAATTTTGACCCCAGGTCTTTTATTTAAACAAACTTTGTAGACACTCACTAAAAGATGTTTCATGCTTAATATCTTAACTCTAGCTATTTGGGTTTTTTCAAAGAAGATTTTTTAAGTTTTTGCTATACACATATAAGGAAAATCAATGACCCCCTGGGCGGTGCCAATTTTGACCCCAGGGCTTTTATTTGAACAAACTTGGTAGACACCTATTAGAACATGTTTGATGCTAAATATCTTAGCCATAGCTCTTTGAGTTCTTTAAAAGAAGATATTTTAAGTTTTTACTATATGCATATAGGGAAAATCAATGACCCCCCGGGGCGGGGCCAATTTTGACCCCAGGGCTTTTATTTGAACAAACTTGGTAGACACTTATTAGAACATGTTTCATGCTAAATATCTTAGCTCTAACTCTTTTGGTTCTTTAAAAGAAGATTTTTTAAGTTTTTACTATATGCATATAGGGAAAATCAATGACCCCCTGGGGCGGTGCCAATTTTGACCCCAGGGCTTTTATTTGAACAAACTTGGTAGACACCTATTAGAACATGTTTGATGCTCAATATCTTAGCCATAGCTCTTTGAGTTCTTTAAAAGAGAATTTTTTAGTTTTTACTATATGCATATAGGGAAAATCAATGACCCCCCAGGGCAGGGCCAATTTTGACCCCAGGGCTTTTATTTGAACAAACTTGGTAGACACCCATTAGAACATGTTTCATGCTAAATATCTTAGCTCTAGCTCTTTGGGTTCTTTAAAAGAAGATTTTTTAAATTTTTACTATATGCATATAGGGAAAATCAATGAACCCCCGGGGCGGGGCCAATTTTGACCCCAGGGCTTTTATTTGAACAAACTTGGTAGACACTCACTAGAAGATGTTTCATGCCAAATATCTAAGCTCTAGCTCTTATGGTTTTTTAAAAGAAGATATTTAAAGTTTTTTCTTTCGGTTGCCATGGCAACCAGAGTTCTGCATGGAATTAAATTCTTTGAACAATTTTTAAAGGTGACCACCAAAGGAACATTCCTGTGAAGTTTGGATGAAATTGGCTTAGTGGTTTATGAGGAGATGTCATTTAAAGAAAAAGTTTACGGACGATGGACAGACGACGGACGCCGGACGAAAAGCGATCACAAAAGCTCACCCTGTCACTTTGACAGGTGAGCTAATAAAAAAAACTCCAAAAAAACCTGTCCTAACTGAACTTTTTTCTGTATTTGTAAATTTAAACCAAAACACTAATGATATAAATCTTTAAACAAATAAAAAGAAGATTTTTTTAACTACTACTTTAGCATTGAAGAAAGTCAAATTTCAACTTAATATTTAAGTCTATAAAGTCATTTTAGTTTTAAGGTGAGTATTGGCCTATGTAAAAATTGAGATTAGAAACTTTACACCATATAAGTGTCTGTGAAAAAAAAAAGTAAAATATAACAAAATCAATGTAAAAACATTTTATAAAATTATACTTTTCAATCATGGCTTTCATTTTAGGATCTACAATCATATCTATGGTTGTTTCACCAGCCTTGTTCTTTATGTGTAAATCTGCTCCTTTCTCCAGTAATGTATACACTATCTGTATGTTAGTCTCACTACTCCACGATCTCGAACTTTTCTGAAATATAAAAATTATTTATTTCTTGTTTTCTTTCTGGAAAGTTTCAAAGTATAATCTTATGATGCTGAAGCCACACAATCCCTCAACAACAACAAAGGCTGTCTCAGGAAGAGTATGTCTCCACTATCCTCAGTGCTTGACAATAAAACAAGAGCCATGCCAAGGCTATATGGCAAAATATAGACTTGATACTTTAGACCCAAGCAGGAAAATACTCATCATATTCCAGTCTAAATTTAATGATCCTAAGGTCATTTAACAATATTTAAAGTCGCTAACCTATCTTGGAGAAACTGAAGAATGGAGTTAATTTAAAATGAAAATCTTAAGTGTTTATGACGATCTTACACACTAATATTTATCTTGGAATTTTGTAACTTCAAGTAAGTAAGTAAGTAAGTAAGTAAGTAAGTAACGACTTTATTTAATGAGGCAACACAGTTGGGCAAGCCCAGTCTTCCCTGTGAGCCTCAACAATGTACAAAACAATTTATAAAATAAAATACATGAATAAGAGAATAAATAACTACATAAGTTGATTTCATTATTATACATTCAACATTGAAATATTTGAGATCAACCTTAAACAACAAAAGACATGTGTTGATAATATACTGGTATACAAATGTTATCAAAAGTGAAAAGTAACATATATATAAAACAAACATATTCAAACAAATATTCAAACAGATATTTACATTGCATTTAAGCAGAGGTTTCCATCAGAGAACCACCATGTTAAGTATGTTTTTTTGAATTCTGCAAGACTGTTTGATTGCCTGATGTGTAATGGTAATTTGTTCCAGATATTAGGCCCAGAGTATGCAAGAGCTTTTCTGCAAAACTCTAGTCTAGGTTTGGGTATATGTAGTGTCTGTTGAGTGTGTGATCTAAGAGTTGTGTGCGAAAATAAATCAGACATATAATGTGGCAATAGATTGTTAAGGGATTTGTAAACAAGAATTAACTTTTTATAATGTATGCGGTCATGTATTTTTAACCAATTCAATTCATGAAACAATATATCTGAGGGTGTATCAATTTCTGCATCAAGTATAATACGGGCGGCTCTCTTTTGAAATTTGTATATGCTGTTCAGTAATTCATCATTACAATTTCCCCAAATAGTGCAGCAGTAATCTAGGTGTGGCAATATGTATGCATTATAAAAAACTATTCTCATTTGTTTGTTTAGGTATTGTTTAATACGAAGTAGAAGATACAGTAATGAATTGCATTTTTTAATCAGATGTTCAATTTGACAGTTCCATGATAATCTATGATCCACGTGAATTCCTAGTAATTTTTCAGAGTTAGTAAATTCAATGTCATTTTCCTGCATTTTCAAAATGTAGTCATTGCTTGATTTAATTGTGTTGTAAATAATATTTGATGGGGAGATTATCATCGCTTTTGTTTTTTGAGGATTTGGTAGCATAGAGTTTCTTGCACACCAGTCGTAGATGATGTCAATGCTATTTTGTAGTGATCTGTAGACTGAGTCAATAGATGATCCAAATGAGGTGATAGTTGTATCGTCTGCAAACATGTCAGTAGATGTATTTGGGAGGTTTAAAGGCAAGTCATTTATATATAGAATGAATAGAGCGGGGCCAAGAATGGATCCCTGAGGGACTCCAGATGATATTTCTTTGGCACTTGATAATTTGCCAGAGATTGAGACCTGTTGAGTTCTGTTTGAGAGATAAGATTTAAACCAGTTAAGTGTTTCCCCTGCAAACTGATATTGTGTCATCTTTTGCATGAAGAGTGAATGATTAAGTAAATCAAAGGCCTTAGTTAGATCAAGAAAAACAGTGCCTACAAGTTTGTTGTGATTGATTGCAGAAATCCAAGTGTCAATGATAGATGTTAATGCTGTTTCACAGGAATGATTTGAACGGAAACCTGATTGAGTCTTATGCAATAACGAATTTGTTTCAAGAAAAGTTTTAAGGTGATTACTGACATGTTTTTCTAGTACTTTGGAAAGAACAGGGAGAATGAAAATAGGACGATAGTTATTTGCATCAGATTTGTTCCCTTTTTTGAAAATTGGTATTATCTTTGCTTTTTTGAAAAGTGTAGGGAAAGCAGATGTTGAAATGCTTTGGTTAAATATTTGTGTGAGTGGTTTTGCTATAACTTCAGCTGAGATTTTTAAAAATTTTGCTCCTATGTCATCCAAACCTGTTGCTTTATTTGAGTCTAGGGATATGAGTTGCTTGATGACAAATTCTTCTTGTATTTGTGGAATCTGAAAGGAAGAAGTTGCACTTGTGTGTTTAGTGGTGAACTCGTGTATTGTTGTTTTGTCTTCATTTGAAAGGATAGAACAGTTTTCTGGAGCTTTTTTAAATACATTAGCAAAAAAATCATTGAAATATTCAGCAGTGGTGTGTGCGTCCTGTATAGGATTACCTGATATGTCAACAATAAAGTTAGTTTGAGATTTGGATGATTTACCTGAAATGTCTTTTAGATTTTTCCATAGCTTTTTAGGGTTGTTAGGATTATTATTTATTGAATTTGTATAAAATGACTTTTTTGCATCTGTTATAAGTGATTTTGTTTTATTTCTCCAGTATTTGAAGGAATCTTCATCATTAGACCTTTTGGCATGGTCTCTTTTCATCATAGCATGGGATATTTCAGTATTAAACCAGTCTGGTAGATTTTTATGTTTTACCCTTTTTTGTTTTATAGGAGCATGTGAGTTTAGTGAATCATTATATAGATTGAGAAAATATTCAAGTGAATCATCTATGTCATCAAAAATATCAATTACAGACCATGGCTGTGCTTTTAGAGAATTGATAAAATTTTGTTCATCAAAATTTTTAACATTTCTGTATCTAATCATATTATGTGTGGGTCCTGAGTCCTTTTGTGATGACAGTTTTCGTGTGAAGCAGACTGGATAATGGTCACTAAGGTTAATGTGGGGTACACATATTTCGACTATGTTACATGGCATATTTGTATAGACATGGTCAATGATGGAAGAAGTTTGATGGGTGACTCTGGTGGATTCCTCAACCATCTGGGTCAAATTAAATGCATTTATTGTGTTCCTCCAAGTAGAATTTGAATCTAAATTACTCATGTTATAGTTCAAGTCACCAGTTATGATAACCTCTTTGTTTTCTGAATATAACCGTTCTAAAACTTGTTCAAATTCCTGATTCCAGGCACAATTTGAAGATGGAGGTCTGTAGATATATCCAAATATGAATGGCTTTTGCTTAGAACACTTTATTTCAAGCCAGATGGCTTCAAGCATATCACTATCAAGGTCATGTCTTTGAACACTATGATATTTACAATTTACATATACAACTACTCCTCCTCCATTACTTTGTCTGTCTCTTCTAAACATATTGAAATTATTTAGTTGAAATTCACTGTCTTCAAAATGACTATTTAAAAATGTTTCACATAAGCCAAGTATATCGATTTCTTTGTGGTAATGTAATAAAATTTTCATCTGATCAAATTTGGGGTAGAGATAATGGATATTGAGATGAAAAATTTTTAATCCAAGAAGGGGAATAATTTGGTAAAAAGCCATGGAAGAGTAATAATATCTGCCATATGTTATAGTTCAGATCAGAATATCCGTCACCATGGTGAGTACCCAAGGCACAGATATTTTGATCTGATCCAAAAACATGTCGGATATTTTTTCTTGCATATTCTGCCACATTATTTTATATTTAAAATGTTTACCTCAATAAGATATTTAGTCATGGAAATAAAAAGTCATTTCATCCATTACTATTTTCTTACAATAGCATATGAATTTACAACTTGAATTACAAGGAGGCATCGACGCCATCCTAAGCAAATAATTCCCTTCTAAAATGCGCAAAATAACCTCATCTTATGGCAGTTTACTCATAAAATGCACTAAAATGACCCCATTGTATAGCACGCCACTCATCTAGCACCCCTCATGCTAGATGAAATTTCCAGCATGGGTAAAACTAACGGAAACATCAGTCTGTTATGCAAGAATAACAGGTCTTAATGACTTAAAAATATTTATCCAAAGATGTACGGTTAATGAGAAGCAGACGCCATGTTGCAAAGGATAGCAACATTTTTCTTTATACTAGAACTTGAATAATATTTGAATGCTTTTATACACTTAAACAATGTCAAACTTACAGATGCTGAAATTTTCTGTGTTTTTGTTTTCTGAGACATGTGAAGGGGTGTGTCCCCTGCATTATCCTGGGCATTCACATTAGCTTCTACAATGAATAAATACAAATAACTATAATAAACACATCATAAATTCTGGTTAAAAAATCTTCATCATAAATTCTCACTTTTAGTATTTATAACATACAATGTGCTCTCAGTAAACAGGTAAAAATCTTTATCATAAAATCTCACTTCCAGTATTTATAACATACAATGTACTCTCAGTAAACAGGTAAATATCTTCATCATAAAATCTTGGTACAATCTTTTTTGCAAATTCTTGCAACAAATCTTAGTTAAAAGTTCTCAATACAAACTCCATAACAATTTCTCAGAACAAATCTATAACTTTTTATCATAATTTCTTAATAAAATATTCATGAAAATTTTGGCATAAATCTTCATTGCAAATGTTTTTATAAAAAAAATCTTAAATCTAAAGTGTATAAAGCAATATCTTTGCTGTCTGCAGATTGTAAAATGTTTGTTTAATGAAATGTATATTTATTAGGGCTGGGAAAGAATAAGGAATTGGATGTTCGATTATTCGTTTTCCATATTCAAATATATTCGAATATTCGTTTTTACAACATTTGTTCCAATATTTCTCTTTGACCTATACGCATCCGAAATTGATTGTGTCGAATACTATACTACTTTAAAATGCTTGGAATAATCGGCGATTAAAAAAAACCTTAATTGCTATGTCAAAGTTTTTTTATTTTATATATTGTAAATCGAGATATATGTTTACTTTTGAAATAAATTCATAATTTGATTATCTTTTGTTCAGTAAACCCGACCGCTGTCTTATTAACGGGAGGTAACTCACTTGACTTGACTGACAGTAATATGAATCATCGTAGCCTCTTAGCCCCAAAATCACATATTGAAACTTAACTTGTATTAAATATTTTTTTATCTATAATTTTAGATAAAGTTTAAAATACTCTTAAGATAAATTTAGCTATAACGCAGTAAATATCACACGGAGTCTAATGTCTACGGAATGAATATATTCTGACGGAATTTAGACACTTCCTATGCTTTCATAACGTGCCAATTAATGCGTGCCGATTTATTCTTATTCACAAAATTTAAGACAATTATTGATTAATCGGAAAGATTATAACACAGAAAACAATAAATAAGATAATTAAAATCGGAAAAATTTACATTATAAACTGTTAAACAGGTAAATTGCAAACTGTGAAACGGGTGCCCTTTTGATCAACTAGACCCCAAAGTTTTCACAGTTAATTGGCGATAATTGTTGACATGCGTCATACAAACATATGAACACCTGGTCAAGAAAAGGTCAAGGGTTTAATTTACGATCTTAATTGAAATTTGAAAGTAATGACAAAAAATAAAACATTTCTCCTCTTTTTTTTTGAATATTCGTATTCGTTTTTCAATGTTCGAATATTCGGTAGTGTTTCGAATATTCGAATATAATTCCCGGCCCTAATATTTATTTAAAGCAACTGGGCCTGCATGAAATCATCACAAAAGCTATTAGAGAAGCAACAGAATATTTTGTTCTGGCACATTTTATTCTGTTCACGTATATTCAAAAATATTTTAATTAGGCACACATTGTATGTCACAAATCTTTAAAGTGACATTGTGCCAATTTTGTCATTGTCAAGTTGTGCTCAATTGTCTTTATATTTCAAATGACTGATTGTAAAAACGGTGATTGACTAACAGTTGATATGATCAATGTTTAGGATAAAATATATGTATGCTTAAAATATAAAAAGACTGCCCCACTCTTTTTATAAATTGAACATTTCAGGTAATCTCCGACCAAATCTTAAAGACATTTTTTAGGGCCATGTTAGTTATTTATCGTTCATGCACAGTAAATAATAAAATTGAAAGAAGATGTACACTTACTTGACTTTCACCTGCTCACTCATTATATAGCATTGGATGGGCATTATGCCACTTTAAAGAAACCACCATCAATTTATGAACAAAACATAATTTCAGTATTTATAATTTTTAAACATGTATTTCATAAGATATAGCTTTATACACATTACATGTATTAAAAGTCTCTGAAAGAATCATTTTCATAAATTCTAGGTAAAAACTTTATTATAATTTCTAAGTACAAATCTTCCATTACAATTCTCTTTGTCTTTGTCATTGATTCCATTTAAGATATAAATCTTAAAATCTATATAAAATTCCATACTTTTATCTAAAAGGATCTCGATAGATCGTTTGTGTTGCTGGGAAACAGCAAGATGTAGAGGGGTCCTCCCACTATCATCCTTAGCATTTGGATCAGCCCCACCCTGAAGTAAAAGTACATACATGTATTAGTATTTAACAATAATTTTCTCTGATGATCATATAATAACTTTCAAGCTTTACTAGTGGAGAAGGACCTATGTTGCTTAACCTACAATTTAGCACCAGACTACACCTACTGACCTGCTATAAGCTACCTGGACATCTTCCTCACAGGAAACCCCAGTTCATGTATTATGTATTCTTTTTAAATTGTTTTTAGTATACATATAATTTTACTTTATCATGTGTTTTAAACAAAACCTGTTAAAGAATGATTGTATGTAGCTAAGGGAGACAACTCTTCAGTGCATAGGACAGTAAATTGCTGTAATATGGTTGTATCGTACATCTTTCCAGTTATCATATTTCCACTTGATTATACAATGTTTTTTTCCCATCCAATTTTTGAAAATGAATACAAAATTTACGCTTTAAGTGCAACTTAAGATCCCCATCTTATATCGAGTAAATACAGCAATGTAAATCACTTTACGTACATGTATGTATGAGGGCTGTCCCTAAAGTTTTGAGAATGTGCATTTCTCTAGAAAACATTTATAAAGTACATCCAGAACCTACCATCTTTAATACATACCAGAGAAGACAGTACAAACATACAAGTGAAGACAGTACAAACATACAAGTGAAGACAGTACAGACATACAAGTGAAGACAGTACAAACATACAAGAGAAGACAGTACAAACATAAAAGTGAAGACAGTACAAACATACAAGGGAAGACAGTACAAACATACAGGAGAAGACAGTACAAACATACAGGAGAAGACAGTACAAACATACAAGAGAAGACAGTACAGACATACAAGAGAAGACAGTACAAACATAAAAGTGAAGACAGTACAAACATACAAGGGAAGACAGTACAAACATACAGGAGAAGACAGTACAAACATACAGGAGAAGACAGTACAAAAATACAGGAGAAGACAGTACAAAAATACAGGAGAAGACAGTACAAATATACAGGAGAAGACAGTACAAACACACAAGAGAAGACAGTGCAAACATACAAGAGAAGACAGTGCAAACATACAAGAGAAGACAGTTCAAACTCACAAGAAAAGACAGTACAAATAAACAAGAAAAGACAGTACAAATAAACAAGAGAAGACAGTAGAAACACACAAGAGAAGACAGTACAAACATACAAGAGAAGACAGTACAAACACACAAGAGAAGACAGTACAAACAAACAAGAGAAGACAGTACAAACACACAAGAGAAGACAGTACAAACACACAAGAGAAGACAGTACAAACATACAAGAGAAGACAGTACAAACATACAAGAGAAGACAGTACAAACATACAAGAGAAGACAGTACAAACATACAAGAGAAGACAGTACAAACACACAAGAGAAGACAGTACAAACACACAAGAGAAGACAGTACAAACATGCAAGAGAAGACAGTACAAACATACAAGAGAAGACAGTACAAACACACAAGCGAAGACAGTACAAACACAAGTTCTATAAATAGATTTTTTTCATTGAAAGCTTTACTTACCTGTCCAAGAAGTATACCTAATACTTCAACATAGTCATTGACTGCAGCTATATGAAGTGCTGTAAAACCTTCCCCAACCAGTGGTGAATCTACAAGATTTGGACTTTTCTCAATCACTATCTTAACAGCCCTATTTGGAATACAAAATACACATCATCTTAAAGAGTGTCTTGTTTTATCCTCAGGTACTCATGAAATTTACTTTATCATTGATCAATGATGTCAAATGTCCACATGAAAGGCTTCAAGTTAAGTCCCAACAGCACTTTAAAGGTCACATGCAACTTTCCAGATTTACTTGTGAAGGAAGACCTCAGATGCCCCTCTGTGCATTATTTCAGGTGGACAGTCATCTGGGATTAACCAATATCACTCCATAACCTAACTAAGCTTACCACTGACGGCTATAAAGTCAAATCATGTATATATTTTTCATAAGCATACAGACTTTAACTGTCCTACTAAAAGTGACTGTCCTACTAAGAGTAAATATCCAACTGAAATTGACTGTCCTACTAAGAGTGACTGTCCAACTTAAATTGACTGTCCTAAGAGTGAATGTCCTACTAAGAGTGACTGTCCTACTGAGAGTGACTGAGTGATTTAAGGATTGTAAAAATAGCTTGTGGTTTATATAAACCACTCTTGAGTCTCCTTCATTGAAGGAGGACTTTAACCCACGATTCCTAGCCTGAGAGACTAACACCTTACCCACAAAGCCATGGATCCCCTTTACACAAGCCTGTCCTAGTGTGAGACAGACACCTTAACCACTAAGCCATGGATCCCCTTTACACAAGCCTGTCCTAGTGTGAGACAGACACCTTAACCACTAAGCCATGGATCCCATTTACACATGTCTGTCCTAGTGTGAGACAGACACCTTAACCACTAAGCCATGGATCCCCTTTACACAAGCCTGTCCTAGTTTGAGACAGACACCTTAACCACTAGGATATAGATCACCTTTACACAAGCCTGTCCTAGTGTGAGACAGACACCTTAACCACTAGGATATAGATCACCTTTACACATGTCTGTCCTAGTGTGAGACAGACAACCTTAACCCACTAAGCTATGGATCCCATTTTACACATGTCTGTCCTAGTGTGAGACAGACACCTTTAACCACTAAGCCATGGATCCCCTTTACACAAGCCTGTCCTAGTTTTGAGACAGACACCTTAACCACTAGGATATAGATCACCTTTACACATGTCTGTCCTAGTGTGAGACAGACACCTTAACCACTAGGATATAGATCCCCTTTACACATGTCTGTCTAGTGTGAGACAGACACCTTAACCACTAAGCTATGGATCCCATTTACACATGTCTGTCCTAGTGTTCGAAAGACACCTTAACCACTAGGATATAGATCCCCTTTACACAAGCCTGTCCTAGTGTGAGACAGACACCTTAACCACTAGGATATAGATCCCATTTACACAAGCCTGTCCTAGTGTGAGACAGACACCTTAACCACTAAGCCATGGATCCCCTTTACACAAGCCTGTCCTAGTGTGAGACAGACACCTTAACCACTAGGATATAGATCCCCTTTACACATGTCTGTCCTAGTGTGAGACAGACACCTTAAACCACTAAGCTATGGATCCCATTTACACATGTCTGTCCTAGTGTTTCGAAAGACACCTTAACCACTAGGATATAGATCCCCTTTACACAAGCCTGTCCTAGTGTGAGACAGACACCTTAACCACTAGGATATAGATCCCCTTTACACAAGCCTGTCCTAGTGTGAGACAGACACCTTAACCACTAAGCCATGGATCCCCTTTACACAAGCCTGTCCTAGTGTGAGACAGACACCTTAACCACTAGGATATAGATCACCTTTACACATGTCTGTCCTAGTGTGAGACAGACACCTTAACCACTAGGCTATGGATCCCATTTACACATGTCTGTCACCTAAGTTGCTTAACCACTGCTATGATCCCATTTACACATGTCTGTCCTAGTGTGAGACAGACACCTTAACCACTAAGCTATGGATCCCATTTACGCATGTCTGTCCTAGTGTGAGACAGACACCTTAACCACTAGGCTATGGATCCCCTTGCACATGTCTGTCCTAGTGTAAGTGTGTATTCATTTACAATTTATCATATTCATAATATTACTATAATAATTACTTATTACTAAAATTACAATGTGTTATTCTGTTTGCTGGAGAATAACAATATGATAAATATTGTATTATGACTGTGCATGGCATTGTGGTATATCATATTATAACATGGGAGTAATGTTTGACAGAATATATTAAGAACATATCATACTCACGCCTTGTTATCTCTAAAAGCTGCCCAATGTAAAACATTGAAGTTTAAGTTATTGCAAAGAGAATGGTCCGCACTTTGAGCATTCAAGATGACTGAAACTATCAAAGGTTGACAATCTTTCTGTTCTATTGCGTTGTGCATGGCAGTTTCACCATCATTTGACTGTTTAAGATATACAATAGCTTACATTAACATTTTTATAATGTCATATGATACCCTGTTTGCATTACTGTTACATGTTCATCAAAACACTACTGAACTTTATTCTTGTATTATGGGTCTATTTATTAGTGTACACAGAGCGTATACTTGTAATATATTACACAGACATGTGTTGCTAGTACTATTGTTTAATAACCACACACTGTTCCAAGTCAATGAGTGGTGGGAAAATTATGGACATGCACACTGCAATATAAGATAGTATTAAGATTACACATATGTATACAATTTATGGAATGGGTGTTAAACACATTAACACTGTAATACATACTTGCAAACCTACCAACTTTAAAGAACAAACACCTAAACTGTCCCTCTTTGCAATATTTACATCAGAAGTGTGCAATGAGTAGAATCATCAACTTTATATAAAGAATATCCTCAAAATCTTACTCATATAAATAATTAAATATCTTTGGAAGGATTTTAACACACAGTAGCATGTGGCAATAGGTTTAATATCAACCTTCAACCAAATTTTTATTGATGGCCCAAAATTTGAACTACAAGTATTTACATTATTTAGTCTAAAAGAACACATCTGTCAAAATTTTTCATAATTCAATGTTGAAAAATATACAGAATGTCATTCATAACGTTTCAGTTTCTAAGGTAAATTATATATAAGCCATATTCAAATATTGTTAAACTAAAACAGGTAGTGTGACAAAAGGTACATAACAAGATAATGTAACAATGATGATTACCTACCCTTAGTGATACATCTGCATTATTAAGGACGAGGCACTGTATGGAGTCTAAATCAGGGTGGTCTACTGAGATCATCAGTGGAGTTAAACCATTATTATTTTGAATGTTGGGGTTTGCAGCATTCTGTAACATCTCCTGTACACAATCTGGCTGTTTCCTGTGATAAAATGTAGATTTCTATGGGGGGGTTGGGTTTTACACCAACAAAGAATAGGTCATATGGCAACTTTCCAGCTTTACTGGTAAAAGAAGACCTCATTGATCCTCTGTCTAAATTTCAAACATGTACCAGCATCTGAGTAGAACCACCAAAATTCTGTAAGCTAAATTTAGATGTAATAACAAAATGGTCCAGGTCATCTTCAAACTTTCAAGCTTTAAGTTCAGGGTAGAAAACTCTGATATTCACCATTCCTTGCTAAAACTACTGACCTTAAATTATTGAGCTTTTTCATAGGATGCTGTATTGAGGTAAAACATGCTATTTTGATTATAAAATTATGTTTTCACAACTTATATCAATCGATTTCTAATATGCGCTGTTTATTGACCAGTTTTGATGTCATTATGAAAATTTAACAGAAATGGTCAGATACCCAAAAGCAGCATAATGTAGAGGTGAATCACCCTCATTGTCAGTGGCGCCCATGTCAGCCCCTGCCTCCAGCAAGTATGTTACAAGATCCTTAAAACCTTCATGACATGCAAGGTGTAAAACTGTCCGCCCCTCTGCTTTAAAGTCAACCTAAACAATTGAAATGTATGTCATTTACGGTATCATGCTATTTTGGCTGCATGTAACAGCTTGAGATTTAAAACAGCTTGGGATTTAATTATTTATTTATAAAATACCTTTATTAAGGAAAGTGTTTGTAAGTTTCCAATGCTGTTACTTGATTAAGTTCATTACTAAACCTAATAGAAACTCCTCCAACAATCATGTAACACTTTCTCAATGCAAAGTACAACATTGATATTATGTGTGACATCCATTAAGCAACAATTACTCCCCTGACCCTTATAATGGCATCTGCCAAATGTTTTGACAGTCCATATCCCCCTCTCATCCATTTCATGAAAGGGGTGTAAAAAGTTATGTTGCTATGTTTTTAAATTATTAAAGTGTTCAGCATTCTTTTTTACATCATGTCATCTTTTTGATTTTATAGTCTTTATGCCTTTATCATGCATAATGTTACTAATGAATATAAGAGCATTTTCTTTTTCCTCTTAACTAAAATATCATAAACATTAACTTACTAGTCCACTGTTACAAGCAACAAGATCCTGCACTGCCCTCAAGTCGGCCTTGGTAAAAGCCTCGAACATGGCATTACCCTGGCTGGATATATCCCCTTGATTCCTCTTTAAGTTTACATACATAGAACCAAAATCATCAGAGAATGCTGAAAAATATAAGAAACAATTATTTCCCATTGTAAAACATTCATTTTGCTGATATTAACCACTAGCCACATTAAGCACTAGCCACATTAAGCCTTAGCCAGTTGAATTCATGTACATGTACTTTTCCTGAACTGTCCATTGTTTCTTATGAGGGTTATCAGACTAATAATAATTAGCAGTTAGAGAGTCTGTCAGACCTCCCGGATACATATGCTGGTCTGACACTAAAGCACTGGTTGAGGAAAGTCATACATTAGCACTAAATGGGTAAAAACACATTTGTTTATTTTAAACAAACTTACTCAGTTTAAACTAGATTTTACAACTGAACTTTAAATAGAACAGATCACATTAACTTAATATATTCTGTAGGAGACTGGAAGCCTTGTGTCAGCACCTAACTGGATCATTCAGCACATGTAAATCACATTAAAGAATGTGCTTACTGATCTTGGTTGTGTAGATTCAGTTATCACCAGTAGGGTCAGAGTTTGTTTAGGAAATAGATATCAATGTTGTAGAATAATGCACGGTTTGAGTTCAAATGCGTAGTAATAAAATCTCGAAGGCCGATAGGCCTGAGTGATTAATTACAAAGCATTTGAACAAAAACCGTGCATTATTATACTATAATGCACGAAGAATTAATATCTATTTCCATTCTAACATGTCAAGAAAAAAATAATATAGTTGGACTATATGCTTGGTGGTTAAATTTGTTTTCGCCTCAGAGTTTCCAATAGATACGTTCTTTAAAAGCTGTTCCAGTCGACTAAAAAAACTGCTATTAAGTCTACCGTTTGCAGAAACATATTGAGAATAATGAAATTTTGAAAACGTTGATAAAATTTGTGTGTGTTTATTTTATTTCACTCTTTATTTTTCAAGCGAAATACAAAGTATTAGTAGTGAAACAAATGTGATATTTTACTTGTTTGCGACATTGAAATAGCGTTCTTGTTTTGACTGTTTTTGCACGCGTTGTTTGGCGCTATTTTGTGACGTCATGTAAACAACACTTTAAACATCTGTACAGCGTTAACAACTGAATTAAAGATATTGGAATTCAGATTAATTTTCTTAGTTAGACCACTTTCTTTCATTCTAGATAGTTTCCACAACAAAATTTGACAAAAAATTGTTTTTTTGTCCGTCAATGTGTCGGTTTGAAAATACACAGGAAGGTTATAAGAATGGCGAGTGCATTGTTGTGGAAAATGCAGGCTTCCGACCTTCTTTGTCTATACAGAAAATTTTCTAATAGTGTTAGAATGTAGAATAATGATCAGTTTAGAATCAAGTATTGTTATGCAAACCTCATCGTCCAGTTTTATACATTATTAAAAGTTTTTATTAACACTTAACACAATGTTCTCATTTCAATAGATTATAGCAAGAAGTCACAAATAGCACTAATGCTGCTTTTTAATGCATTAACATCTGTGGAAGCCCTCAGACTTATCAAGTGCGCCCTCTAGCTTCTGTAGATGTTAATGCACACAATAGTGCACTAACCGTCTTTTGATAGTATTCATTTAGTATATGTATGTAATGCTGTATCAGCTTTCCATTATTTGTGTTATATAATGCATGTAACTTTCTCTGAAGAAAACACATGGCAAGAGCATACTTCACATTTTAAATCTACACATTCAACTACCTTTTAGGTTTTGTTTCTGATTCCCCTTATCATCATCAGGGTTACTGAGTACCTTCCTGCCGGGAACCATGTCTCCCTCCGGTTCCAAGTCTGAGTCTTCACCCTCACTGTCTGATGCAGGCATGGGGGGAGCTTTACTTGCCAACTTGGGATCACACACTGTGTTGCAGCAAGTTGGGTTGAAGGTATATTTCTTACCCTCTACTAGTACAATCATATCACCATCAGCTTGTATTTTTACCAAGCGACCAAGTTTTCCACATGCCTTGAAAAGTATAAATAATAGAATAACAAGTGTTTGCTTTACATATACTTCATTTTTATTAAAAATCAAATAAAAAGAAAATGCATAAACAATTTACCTGCACTCTACACTGGCTTCACTCATATCAAAAACACCAAGTTCAAGTTCAAAGAACTGCATATTTTCTGTATTCTTATAAATTATTTTTCACTACTTTATATTTTTATGGGGAGAAAACATTACCAGCAACACTATCACTAATATTATCATCACAAAGACTTTATGAAAGAAATCAGTTATGATTAAATGCATACATGCATATTTTTAACAAGAGATGTCATAAAATCTGCAAGGATATTGCCCTCTAAGTTTTCAACTGAAGTTTGCATCCTTTGATGTCATAGCCCAGGACCAAGTTGTCTTCAGACATAATACAACAACAGGGCCATGATGGCCCTCAGTAGCTCACCAGAAACAACTGCTTTTCAGTGTTGGAAATTATTTTTCAAATGAACTTGCTGAAAGGCAAGTCCACCTCTTTTGGCAAGTTCAGCTAAAATTTAACTTGCCCCTCTAGTAATATACTTTCACAACACTGATTGTTTTAGCTTTTTTTCTTCATAATAAACAAAAGGGCCACTAACATGGCCCTAGACCACTCGTCTAACCCATCATTTCATTATTCACTATATAAATTGTAATATTTTGCCCTAATATTTTAGAAAGGCTTTGTTTAAAGTATGCACTATGTTGCAAGTGTGTTCATATGAGACTATGTTGAATAAATGCAGAATAAATGACCACTAGAGCAGGATTAATTTTGACTGGACAATTTTTTTTATAACTTTTTTGAATGAAAACACAAAATGTCACATGCAAAACATTTAAGGTGTAGATGTTTAAAGTTTACAGTTTGGGACAACACTTTTTTTATACATTCTATATGGTAACATAACTGTACCTCAAAATAGACAATAGGTCAAACATTGTAAAAAATATGAAAAGTAGGCAAACTGTTATCAAAATTCAGAAATTACACCCCTAGTCCAAATTTCAAGTCTTTATGTCAAAAAACAAGAATGAAGGTCAAATTATATCAAAACTATCAAAAGTAGGTCAGTTGATATCAAAATTCATTTTGGCATCAGAATTTACAAACCTGGTCCAAATTTAAAATCTGAATGTAATAATACAAGAAAGAAGGTCAAATGGTGTCAATAATACCTAAAGTTAAGGTCAGCTGATATCAAAAATGAATTCAACATCAAAAATTACACAAATTACACCCCTGGTTCAAATTTCAAGTCTGTACATAAAAGATGAAAAAGTAGGTCAAGCGATATCAAAAATATCAAAAGTAGGCCAATTCATATCAAAATTCAATTCAGGATCAGAAATTAAACCCCTTGTACAAATTTCAAGCAGGTACATCAAAAAACGAGAAACTAGGTCAAACAATATCAAATAATAATATCAAAAGTAGTCAGTTGTCACTTTTCTAAAAATATTAATACATTTGTCTAAAGATGGAATTTCTTGAAATATTTTGGCTCATCTGGAGGCGTGCAGCTTTAATTCAATTCACATCAGAAATTACATTCCTTCTCCAAATTTCAAGTCTGTACATCAAAAACAAGAAAGTAGGTGCAATGGTTTCAAAAATATCAAAAACAGCTCAACTGATGCCAAAATTCAATCATGCACATGAAACTTAGGTTCTACAGTATGTCCAAAACTTTATTGAAATGTGCTTTCTCCAAATTTGAATCAAATTCAACAAAATATGAAAAATTTACAATTTTTTACAAATTCAATAAAAAAAATTGAGCATACAAACTCATCTTTGTTAGTAAGGTACAGGACACAAATGTAATCTTTCTTTAGGCCTAATTTTTTTTCCTGGTTAATGACCCACAACTGACCTTACAATGATGCAATATGGTGTCCGAATTCTAGAGCTGAAAGATATTTACACATCATAAACATGTCATGATATTAAGACTTTCTCTTTTTTGGAAAAATTACATAACACATGTTCACATTCCAACATACCTTGTTTCCCTTTCATTATGAAAAGATATCCTATGCTCATCTTTGAGTAAACTATTTTCTGTACGAAATCTGCTGTGGTCATAGTATTATTTTTACAATAGCTTTAGCGCTTAAATTTGGTTTGCAAATCATGGTCATGCAACTACATAATTAGATAAAGAAGCAGACGCTTGTTTTGGTTGAGTCTATTATGTTTTGTTTAGGGGGTGAGTTGTCATATTACAGAAATTTACAATTTATATGCATTTATTATTTTTCAATGATTTCAATTATTTTAAATGATTCTGGGATTGTTTTATCAAATTATTTGTAAATAAAATTGTTATATGTCCGATTAAAGGCATAATTTTAATGACCATGAAACTAGTTCACACCTTAATGTGTATTGATCACGTGATGGTTTCAGCCAATGACAAAACATCAACATAGTCGGGCAGAGAAAAGGTTTGCAATTAGTAAATCGATAATCTGTATGTAGCAAATAAACTTTGAATTGCAAGTATTAATTTCATATTATATTTTCGGCAGAAGAAACTGTCCGAGGAGGACCAGGCATTTTCGTATCTTAATATGGCTGCCGTTACAGTATCACGTGATTATCCCAAGCACCACCGCAACTTAACGCAGGAATTATAAATATAGCTATCATGGGCGCGACGTATAGGGTAGGAAATACTTTTTTTTATATCTATTTGTAATAGATATTTACAAATCGTATCTTTTGGGGGTTTTTTTTATCAATCAATAACAAATAACGATGTTTTTTTTTGTAAATATATAATAATTTCTCAAATCTGTGATGAAATTCTACCTTTAATATATCAGAATGGTTTTTAATGCTTTGTAAGATAAAAAAAGAAAGAAAAAAGATCGTGTCCGTGTTAGCTAAGGTTTTTTTAAAAACTGGTGACCAGATTTACGAGTTCAGAAAAACAAAGAAATACGCGAACAAATACGGGTTTTATTGTTTATATTTCTCACGCGAGCAAATAAGGGTTTTATTGTTTATATTTCTATTTCTGTGGGTTTGCAAGATTTTCATATGGTCTGTTCAGTGGAAGATGTGTAATTTTGTGTTATGTTTTAAAGTGCATTGTTCTTTTCTTGAAATCATTTTTCTCATCTGAAGGCATACAATTTTAATATTATGATACCTTTCAGGCCCGTCGTCACAATTTTGTGATTGGTGCAGCCAATTTGGTTGGTTTTAGCCAGAATCTACGGGGCTAGGGGGCATGCTCCCCCGGAAATTTTTTTATTCTAGGATGCTCTCAGGGGCGTTTTCCCGTATATTTGGCGCGTTTTCCCGTATATTTGGTACAGTTTACAGCCTGCCGCTAGTACATGTTATAGTAATATGTCAACAATATTTTTACAGATTTAAGTGCGTCGTAGGTTTTAAGGGTGAAATTTAAGGTTTGCATAACTGACAGACAGGTGTACATAAAAGATGCCAACGCTTCTTTGTGGCATCCAGAAGATTCGTGGGTCTTGAAACCATCGGTCCTGTCTTTCCAGTTAGAAAATCCTGACTCTAGGAAGCTTTGTCTGCTTTGGAATATTTAAGTTTACGCACACGTAACAGAATGCAAGATCATGGGACTCATCATAAAGCAGCCATGGTCGGGTGTTGGGAAAGATCTCTGAACAGGAACTTTTTTTCCTACATTGAAAGAAACACTTATTTTAATGTATAAAAATTTAGAATATGTTCTTAATAGTAAGCAGTATGACAAGTATACAAATAAATTGATATGGTCTTAATAAAATGTTCCTTATTCGGTTATTAAATATTTAGAAAGTAGAAATATGATGGTGAAATGAGTCTCATATGAGATATATGTTTTTTATCAATTTAATTTATCCTCATTTGGAAGCGTGCCCCCTTTTAAACTGAGTTTATTTTCATTATATAATAGAGTAAATTGAATGAGTTTATTACTGAATTTATTTCAAGAGTTGAATGAAAATATAGAATCCCGGACAATCCCCCTCCCGGACGATTCCCCTTCCATATCATTTTCACAACCCGGACATTTCCCCTCTCGTTATTTTAATAGGGCGGACTTTTCCCCTCCCGTTAATTTTACAGGGCGGACAATTCCCCTCCCATTATTTTAGCAGAGCGGACAATTCCCCTCCCGTTTTTTCACAGGGCGGAACGTGACATTATACGGCCCTTAATCATAGCCGCCAATGCGTACAAAAAATCTATAAACATTCTTATTAAAGATGACAGTTTTTACTCTTAACAACAAACTGTTAAAGATCGGAACTGTTAACAAACATTATTTCACAAAGGTGACATTATACCGCCTTTAATCATTGCCGCCGCTGCTTAAGATAAACAAACTGTCAATGAAAAATATTTAATCATTGCCGCCCTTAATTAAATGTGTCCTTAATTGCAAAACCAATTATTTACAATTATTAATTATCGTTAAAGCAGATCACAATAATTGTTTTGTAATTAGTGTACTCAAAGTATTTAATATTTTATACTTCCTACAAATGTGTTCAATCAAATATAAAATCAAAATGATCACTGATATTTTGTGTTAGGACTTCATGTACTGATTCAATATGGTGAATGTGATTTTCTAATCATAATGACGATGATGACAGTTCAATTAACTATAACATGTGCATAATATATTCTTTGCAAGAATCTACAGCTTAATTGCTTTTTTGTTCTCATCAATTGTTTGTTTATTATTTTGCCGCTGCAAAAATGTATTGACGAAATAAAGATTATTTTAAAAAATGTGTTTTGTTTTGTTTATATTCATGTATGAAACTTGGGGATATACCATTCGCTTGTCCGCCCTAGAGACAAGCAAAATATATTTAAAGCTGATTAAAAATACCTTTCAAATAAACAATATTATATAATATATATATTCAACAGCCACGGGAGGGAAATTGTCCGCTCTGACAACAGACGAAGAGTTGTCCGGGTTGTTAAAAGA